ATTATATCTTATGATTCTAGGATTAACCACTTCCGGGTAGTTCTTTGCATTTTCCTTTTTTGGAATACCATACTATACTACTCTGACCTAACATTTTGTATTAAAAGCTTTATACTTCATTTAAGATAATAAAGAAACCTTCGTGTATTTTGACACCATCTCAGGTGGCATGAACAGTTATTTTAAGGACAATACGCACACATAAATACACAACTGTGTGTAAGCCAGAAATGTGCCGAGGGTTGAACTAATCAGTGATCTGGTGAAAGAGGGTCTCCACTTGAGCCATTAACTCTTGTTATTCTCTCCACTTCAGCTTGTTTCCAACATTTCCTGCACTGCTGCTTAGCCATGTCGCTTGATTGCAATCTGGTGCCAAGGAAGGCAAAAAAGAGAGAGGAGTGGAGAGGTTGGGGTGGGGGAGGGTGGTGTAAATAAGTGAAGAGGGGTGAAGACAATAGAAATGCCATGCTTGACTTCCTTAGGAAATGGAACTCTGTGATTCCAGCCATTAAGAGTTCAAAGGTGAACCTTTACATTTCCGTAAACTGACAAGTGGCAAATAGAGGTCATCTCTTTATAACTGTGTATTTAGATTGGAATAGGATGCCAGCGTTTGATTACTCTCTAATTAAGATTGAGGATATCACTTTAGACACTTTAAGTATTTGACTGGCGTAAGCAATGAGCTAGAATAATTGAGTTTTTATTTGTAGTTAAATAGATGTCTGAGTTATATTTTTGACTTTTTCGAAACTGTCAACAGTAATATAATGCTCCAAATTGCAATCACCCTCTAAAATAAGGTCAGACGAAAATATTTTTTTAATTAAAATTAGTGATAGTAAGCTATCCAACTGTCATGTTTGAGTTATTTTTTCAATCTGTTGTTTTGTAGGGCATAATTGGGAGGTTGAGCTGTACAGTGGGTGGGTGGGATTATTGTGGTTGACTTTCAGCGATAGAACTTAAGCAACACGCCCTTTCAAAGTTGTTTAGATAACGCTGTAGTACTTATCAAAAACAATGATGTTAACAAGTTGTAAAACCGATTTTGTCACTTTCTGATACATTTATTTTACATTGTCCTTTAAAAATACCTTCAGGATTGTTCAGGAAACTTTTCATAGTTATGTACCTTTCCACTTATGCCAAAGTGTAAAGGTGCTGGTTTACGATACGATATGCAATCAGATTGTCTCAATGGATCATAAGAACTTAAGTAGATCATCACTTTAAATTCTAGGAGCAGGACATATTATAGTAAGAACTGGGGCAGCAGAATAACATACGGAGAAAGATACAAGATGGAAAAGGCAGCATGTGCCATTGGATATTTGTTTAGTTTTATCCCTGTTTGGCCGTTTCTTCCCGAAGATGCAGATAACATGAATAATTTTGCGACTTTGTTGGGAAAACTTTCCAAAGTGTGGCAAGGCAGACTGGAGGTGATAAATTATTCAAATCTTTCATCGGAGCCATGCCGCTTGCGTAGGGCAAGCCTCTATAATATGCATGTAAGAAGACATGATGAAACAATTCTATAAACAGTAGAGAGTGAGAGAGTGTTTGGGGAGTGTGGGGCGTGAGGAAAGGGTGATGCAGAGACAAGCGACTTTGACTATGACTACACAGTGTATGTAATCACGCAATAGGCCTATAATATATACATCTGAAGACATTAGATGAAAAAACTTTGTGCGATGTTGGAAAGGGTTGGGCGCAGAAAAGGAGGGCAGATTAGGCGGGAGATAAGGAAGACGGAGACAAAATAAAGTGGAAAACACACAGTTAAAGACAGATGTATGGAAAGGGGAATTTTGAGATTCCTGCCATTGTGAGTGTATGAGTTTGTGTGAGAGATGGGAAAAGAAAGAAAGAATAGGTATTTAAAAGACGGGGGAATAAATAATGGGTATTTAAAAGAAAGGGGAGAAAGAATGGTTATATAAGAAAGACAAAGAGTAAGTACAAACGGACATCGGAGACAATAAATGCAGAGAGGCGGCCGGCTTTCTTCTCAAGTGCCGAGGGAGACAAAGATATGCATTTCAAAAAGAACATTTTCTACTTCATGGTGTGATGGAATTCATGGGAGTAAACCTGTATATTATCTGTCGACCTAGGGTAAACTACTCTGAAGATTTTTTATTTCTGTTCCTGGAATGTTTAAAATCTTGCTTAAAGCCAACCGTATGTGTTATATAGGGCTGGGCTAGACTTTCAATACAGGGATCAATTTGATTGAGTACCTTTATACTTTCAAGCAAATATCAACCTTTTTTCAAGACTTTCTTTTACAAAAGCCCCATTTTTCAAACTCAGCAGTTTGCATTGTGTTTTAGCACAAGCCCCAACACTAAAAACAGCTAACATTAATGCTACATATTGTAAAATGAATGACTTAAATGAAGATATAACTGATTAAAATTGCAATTTGGTCAAGTCCAAACAGTGCAAATGCTTCAGAATGACCTCTTTTGAAGCGTCCAGTGAGCTGCCTTTGTTAGCCAGTTGGGCAGACAGAACACAGTAATTGGTGCTCCTGTGTTGTACCCCAATTGCACTCAGTCCTCAGTGGCCTACTTTGGCCTTCCTTTACTCCATGGCCTATTTCCTGTCTCATTTTATATCTTTAAGGAAGTCCATATGAGCCGAAACAAAAACAGTGTAAGCATTACGCTACATTGGTTATAAGTGGAAACCCTCAGAATGGCCCCTTTCCTTTGCCTGTTTCCTGAATTAAGTAAGGAAAAAAACACCCGGGCTGAAACATGGAAGGTTGACCCTACAGTATATGCTCAATATATATTGAAAATCATGGACAAATCTAGAATGAATGAAGAGCAAAATATAGCGTCTGCATACAATAACAAAATCAAACTCGAATGAATCGACTTGTAGCTGCCTCATTTTCTGAAGAATGAGTAAATCATGCAGTTAAGGTAGTTAATTTATTCCTTGTCTTTATTGAGTGAGGGAGCAGAGCGAGGAGGGGAGTAAAGGAGCGGGGAGGAATTGATTGTATGTATTTATCTCCCGCTGGTCAGCAGTCTGGCTTGTTGCTGTGCACTGGAGGTCATTCTCCACATTGAATCCTCATTGATCTCCTCTTTAGAGCCTCCTGAGACACCCAGAGCTCCATTATGAGAGTGATCAGACTCTCAAGCATGCACCAATAAACACGTATGCACACTCATGAATAGAGAAACACAAACTCATAGCCTAAGTACATTAACGCGTAAGAACACAGGCCTGCACATCATTATGCACGCATAAACACAGACACACTTTTACAGCCAGGCCTGCCTTCACACACGCACACTAATCGGTAGAAACCAAGTTTAGCACTGCCTCTCTATAATTCCTTGTACTGCGCCTCCTAACTGCGTGTAAGAGCATGCATTAATTCAGACATCATTTAATAAGACACGCCAGCCAGACTGCCTTGACCACTCCATAGAAAGGTGCTGAAAGGCAATTACACTGGGCAAATAGCCCTTCAGGCTCCAGGGGCCTAAGCCCTTCCATCCAGAGGAAGGAGGGAGGGGTGGGTGGGTGGGTTCTAACCTCTCACCAGAATTGAAAACAGAGTCACTTTGGGTTACACAGTATTCCTTTCAGACGGACGCAGCGATACTAGCGGTGGTTGATCTACAGTAAATGAGCCGACCTTCAAATTGGATTCATGACCTCTCCGACCTGGGCTGAAAATGGGTCAGACCCTGTACATCTCGGATAAATAGGCATATCTATCAATTTCATGAGTTTTTCACCAAACTCACCTTCAAACCGCACTTGCACGGATTTACTGATTCACATATGACCGTCCCAGGGTGGTGCTCAAAGGATTTGAAAGCTACACTTTAGGCAGGAATGATTGATTTTTTTTTGGCCCCTTGGCAGTGTAAACACAACACCTCATGAAATCACTGCAGGAAACACTCACCTTTTAGCTCTGTTTTGGTCTCTATCAACCCCTTAGGGAAATGTTTGCAGCTAAACCATCTTCTATGTTTAACAGCTTGTCACTTACATTTGTCATTTAGTTATCAAAGCATTTTGTTAAAAACAGCTGACTGCTATTGTTGTGTTTTGTTTAAGTATTAATATGTATTCAACTACATTTGCAAATTGTGGTATGCCTAACTGTGACAACCAGGGATGAACCTTTGACAGCAGTCTCAAAAGAGGTCAACAATACATTATGTGAAACTTCAAACACAGGTTTAAGTTTCTTTAGAATGTCATTATAAATGGATGAACTGAAAGTGGCACTATTCTCCTTCCTCCACACACTCCTGGCTTCATTCTTGGGGAAGGCCTTATGATTTGTTAAGCAGCTGGGGAAACTAAAGAGAAGGCTGACAAGTGATACAGTAAAAGGCAAACTAACATAATACAGTATATAAGGCTCAGAATAACTTTAGAGATATTCCGCTAAGGTGCAGATAAAATAAACCATTGTGAATTATTCTTTATCTGACAAAAGCAGAAACATTTACACAAATGGCAACTAGCTCTCAGAGTGTTCTCAAGTTTTGTTTTAGTTTAGTTTATTTTGTATTTTATCTTTTAATTCTAAAAACTTGCAGACACAAGGGGTGGAGTAGTGGGAGACAATCATAATTGAGAAACCGTAGTTGCACAGATGGTGCTTTTCCTTTTTCTTCCTTTTGTAAGTCTTTTCTCAAAATTAATTATTAGAGAAAGATTAGTGGCTGTAAGCATTCCTTATGCCACAACAGAAAGTAATTCATCATCATGAATATTAAAAGGAATGAATATTAAAAGCATTGCAAACATGCCAAGGTATTCCATGTGAAGATTTAGCAAATCACATCACAGCCTGTCTAATGAATATTGTTGAGAAAAGTGCTTAAACCGACTTCTTTGTTCTTGGTATTACGCATGGTACTAATTTGAAAAAATACTTTAAGAACAGAAGAATGAGAAGGCAGAGGTGGAGAGAGAAGAATTGGGTGTAAAGTGGGACCTACCATTGTTGCCGAAGTCCAGCGAGTACTTGACCACGTGGTAGTTATTCCACACGTACAGCAGGTTGTCTCTCGGGTTGTAATCCACTGCGGCGATGTACTGGTAGGAATTGGGGAATGGTATGTTAACCGTCATCTCCTTGCTCTTATCAGTGTTGTACATGTAGTCGATTTTGTTTCCAGTCCCTTCATTGTCGTCATCTTCGTAGACCGTTTTGACCACGTACAGGACTCCGCAGATCATGAACGCATTGGAGGCGGAGCGTTTGTCATACGTTGAGTCCCAGGAACCTTCGATACGCAGGGTGTAGGGGTTGAGCTGGCTCACCACGATTCGCCCGTTGTTCTGCTCTGTTGCATAGATCACCCACAGCCCGTTCTCGTCCACCGCTAGGTCAATGTCCGACTTTCCCCCCCAGCGATATGGTGAGGTGTCATGGTAGTTGGCATTGGCAATGATGGCCTCACCACTCTTGATGCGAGTGCGCAGGTCAAACTTTACAATGTTGCGCGTGCGCTCCTTGTTGAAGAACAGAGCACCGTCATAGACTACAAAACCAGTCCCGTCCACACGGTGTGGGAGTTTGTAGGTGGTGGTGGGACGTCCTGCTATGAAGTCCTCCTTTGACGAGTACTCTGTCAGTGTGTCAGTGCGGTATGGGGTCCAGGGCATGTAGTAGATCTTGTCTGAGGCCTGCAGTGGGTCTTTGCACCACGCACCGGACTGGTGATCTGACTCGAAGAGATGTTCACTCTGGTACACTCCTCGCAGAATGCCAGGGCAGAGAAATACTGAGGAAAGAATGATAGCAATTTGAACTCTGTAAAATGTCAACTATTCCAGTTTTTATGACAGTGTTTGTGAAATGTTTGGCTCTTTTCTTAAATGTTAAATAGCGCTGTAACTCAACCTTAACCACAACTGACTGACGATGACATGATAGACTGTGTTGTGATTTGATTTTTGTATAGTCACTGTCATTCCAAGAACAGCAACAGCATGTCTCCTATTCAACAGATAATACCCTGCTCTCACAACTACAAGAAAAGGAGAAAATAGCACATTTTGTTCTACCACCAGCCCTCCCAACCCCCACCCCCTTTCCCGCTATTCCCACTTCTTCCTCCCTCCCCGGCTCCTCATTAGTCTCATAGCTCTTTCTTCCTTTCCCTCCCTTTCTATCTTTGTCATGAACGACCAACTGTAGAGCAGAACACGTCTTTTATCGCCTGCTGTTTCTTCAATTGTTACAATAATTCATTCCCCACTCTGTGCTTGGTATTCCCATCTTTGAATTCTGGGGTCATGTTTTATGAGTGATGTGGGAGATGTGGGAGATGTAGTAAATTCTGGGAAGCCAGTGCGACCGGAGTCTTAGGGACCTTTGTAATTTAACTGGAATGTTGTCACATACACATACATGGCAGATACTCTCACAGACGGGCCAGATGTGCACTGTGGTTTTCCCATTCTTCCAAATAACAATCTCAGATCCCACAGAAAGGGCCGGGAATATTGATTGAATTTCCATTGGCTATTCAAAGCACTGGCACAATTTTCATATCACGGGGAAGCATTTGAAATATTAAATGTCAATGTAATTTTCTGTATATTTCTGTAGAGTTTGCTAAGTGACATTCTACGTGCTAGCATGAAATAATATGGGTCTAGAGAGTGTCTAATGAGAACCAGTGTTTCTGAATTGCCTCTATACACTGAGATCAAGCTGTCTTAAAATAGCAGCAGTGACTTTGAAAGAGATGTCGCTCTGCCGTTAGCTACAAAACGTTTCAGGCGCCGACATCAAAAAGTGACACCCAACCCCTCATTTTGAGTATGAGTGCATGTGTGAATGTGGGAGTGCTTGCTTTACAGACTTACCTTTTTGTTCAACTTCTGCATGAGCCATAGGGAAAAGAGTTGAAGAAAAGAGAAAGTGGGAGGGAAATAGGGGACAGAGACAAGAGACAAAAATAGATTAATGATGCAATAATAAGGAAATCATGATAATACAATCTCAGATCTTCATAATCATTCTCATATTTCATCCTAACCTTGTGAGAGTGCCAGGATGCTCTCCATGTGTGATTGGTAATAACATTACGTAAGCGTCTGAAGAGACCACACTGCAATGGGGAAGCTGTCTGACAGTAATGCATCTTGCATATGCCTCACACACACACACCAATATGGGGAAACAGACACACATGCCATGAAGGCACAGAGAGAGGAAGAGGGATATGACGGAGCCAAACTCACACAGATTCATACATGGTACTTAATGCAGGACAAAATACAGGGAAGCAAAACGACCTGAGATAATAAGCTCTTTAATGTATGCTTATAGCAACAGAACAATGAAACCCAGAACATTGATTTGATAACTGGGTTTGCATTTCAGTGGACCTGCCAAAACTGCCACATTAAAAGGCTTTCTGACGCACAGTAACGCTTATTTGTATGTCACCTACTCTGTGCCACTCTGTGTTTGAGTGTACAATCATCTGTGTGGGGATATGTGAGTATACTGAATGCAGCGGTTTGCTTCTATCCATACACCAATTCCCTGTCTATTATTTTCAAACCGTTATCCTTAGAGCTTCAAACGGAGGATGGTTCATTTCGCCCCGCAATGAAATGTGCACACTTGCTCGAAGCCTCTTACACATATGAATTCCATTCCACCTTGCTCCCAGGGGGACTGAGTGGAATGTGAACATGGCAGAAACCTAATCCTGCAGGCAGTGCCCTTGTGTCTTTCGAGACTTTAGAGACCTGCCGAATGGAACTGGTCCCAGGAGAGGCGAGGAGAGGAGAGGAGAGGAGAGGAGAGGAGCATAGTCTTCAAAGGAAAAAAAAACATTTGGAAGGACTTCCGGATGGGACATGTTTATATATAGCACAAATGCACAACATATTGCACTGCACATGCATAAATTATTTAACGCTTTACAGCCAAAACTCATCACCAACCAAAAGACATACACAAACATACAGGACACATACACTTACACACTTACACACTTACACACACACACACACACACACACACACACACACACACACACACACACACACACACACACACACACACACACACACACACACACACACACACACACACAAGCTACCATTAAATCCTAGACTCATGAAAAATGCATGATAACTGGTGTGGCTTAGCACAACTCCCGATAAATAAGCAATCTCAGGAAGGAGATCGTGTTAAACCTAAAACAAGTGTGAGTATATGTGTCTGTGTGAGTGCGTTTGTGTGAGTCTGTGCCATTACTAGTGGAGATATAAAAAGGTTCACCACAAGGAAGTGGTTTTCTTGTGAGGAAAAACTGTGAAAGAAAGCAGATAGTGTGTCTGTGCTGAATAGGATGTGTGCGATGGAACGACAGATATTGATGTACCAAACGCACACACATACTGTATTTAAACAACACAAAGAGACACTGTGTGGTTGCACCAATGGGGATTAATGACACAGAACAACAAGGCCTTCGCATCACCTGAGTGTCTTCTACAACCTCCCAGACTCAAAGGAAAACACGCAGAGTTCAAGGTTGACAGCGACTAATAGATTTCAAATGAAAAAGTGTGGCGACAACAAGTACAGCAAATGGCACACAAAATGTCAAACAAATGTCATTCAATTTATATCGCCGCTTGTTGTTTCACCAGATTAGTGGACGCCCCCGTCTGTGACCTCGGTGCAAGATTTTTTTTTTGAGGCATCTCTAGTTTTAATGTCCATGACAAGGGTAAGAAATGAAAGTTTTTCACAAATCGCAGTCATTCATCTTTCAGTGAGCAGGCTTTTACAGAGTGAATGTAGTGTAGGTGGGTGAGGCATTTGTTGAAAGGCTTTTTCAAGGTTAGCTCAAGCGTGCGAGGTGTAAAAGATCAGAGGTGTTTTGCTAATTTAGCCTAGAGAGTGCGCAAGACTGCACAACATGTCCTTGTTTCCCAGAAAACATAAATACCAGAGCATCATTTCTCAATGTATCTCTTAGTGTAATTCATAATTGAATTCTGCGGAGGTGAGGCATGTTATCTATTCAGTATCTTTGACTGATCGCTTGTAAAACCACTAAGACTGCACAATTGAATAGTGAGCTTCAAAATAATTATGTTGAATTCATTTCCAGTAAAGCTTTGAATGATTATTAGAAAAACAATAGCAGCACAACAACACTTACATAAATGCTTTGTTAGTGAAAGTGTGTCGCCTGTTTAGTTTCAGTTTTATAAATACAAAAATGAATATTCATCAACGTATTAGTATCTTCTATTTTTTTTGTAACTTTAATCAAATGAATCGCTCTGTGCCGTGGATACCTTCTCTTGCTTTTTTTTTCAAGCTCTCTCTTTCCATTTCTATTTCTCATACACACACTCGCACAGAAGCAGTGTTAACCTGACTGTGGTACGGTGTAAAGATAATTAGCATTTTTATTGAAAGCATACGGTTTATTAAAGTGGTATTCGTCTAGGAGGAAAGAGTGTGTGCTCATGAGTGTGTGGACTCATGAGTGTGTGTAATATGTGCGTTGGTGTGCGTGTTCCTGCAGACGAGTGGCGACAGCAGCCTCACCACTACTATCTCTGATCTCCAATCAGCTCAGCCGGCTAAAGCCCAAGGTCATTTGTGGACACGGACAGTTTTCTTCTTCCTCTCTCCATTATTCTCATCGTTTACTCTGTCCTCTCATCCTCACCTGCTGGCATTCTCCATCATCCTTTCACGCTGTGCTTTTCTCCTCGTTCATTCTCTGTGTATTGTCCTCTGTATTGTCCTCTGTATTTCCACCACTTCCCGCAACCCTAACCCTGTCCACCTCACCGCTGTGTCTTTTTATCAGTTAATTCATTCATTCTGTTCCTCGTCTGCTGGCCTCGTCTAACCTATTTCCCTCTATCTCTGTTTCAGCTGTCGCTCCCGCTCTCTCGTACGCTCGCTCACCCTCCGTCTCGTTGGTTCCTTTCCATCTTTCCCTCGCTCTCCCTGGGAAACGCACAATTGCCCGTGTACGCCGAACACACACGCAAACAAGGACACATACAGTATAATGTACATTCACATACGTTGAGACATGCACACACACATGGACATAACGTAGGGCAATCATATTAATGACAACACACACACACACACACACACACACAGATCTTCTCATGTTATCATGATGAAGTTATTCCAAGGGTCCAATCTGACAGAAGTCTTTAATTGGCCAGACAAGAAGGTGATTTTATCTTTTAATTAGCTCTCCTACTGAACCACGTCTATTGTCTAAAATAGACTGCATGGGTATTGCATAACATATCACTGGCTTTTCTGATTAATACACTAAATGTGGTAGTAGGCTAATTGCTTCATAATAACAGTTGGAGAGCCAGGGTCTGCTGCGTGGAGATGAGGACATGGATAGACAAAATCCCAGGCGTTCCAGGCTTTTTTTGAATATTTTTATAGTGACAATGACATGAGACGATCCAAATCATTTTCACCAATTGTGTATTTGTAGAGATTTCATGTATCCATGTGTGAGAGCTGGCTTGAGAAAGTACTCTGTACAGTAGTGTGTTAATGTATGGATATTTATAGTCCGCCTGCAGTGCAATGAGCAAGTATACACAGGTGGCTAATTACTGCCAAAGCTAGCTGGCTAGTTTGGCACACGACCGCCACATACTCATACCACTGAGAGCCAGAGAGAGAAAAGCCAGAGAGCACTTGATTTTAGCTTTGGAAAGGAGCCAGAATCCTGCAGTGCGGGGAGGAGAGATGAAGAGCTTGGTAGGTAGAGCAAGCCAAAAATCCTCAAGAAAAAAATCAAGGAGGAGAGGTGGAGGGGCAACATTTCCCAGAAAGCGGAACCGTACATAATTTAATTACCTGTTTTACAACCCACTTTGAGATTTGTGTACAATATCTATGCGGTGGGAAACATAACCGCTCTACTTCAACGCCAGTGCTGGGGAAAAGTTCCTCTACAGCATGAGGTGGTGTCTCTTTGAAGCTCAGCTCACTTTCTTTCGGTGCAATCAGTTTCTGATTAGCAACACCCGGCCTCAGGGGTGATGGCTCTGGGTCAGGTGTTTGCACTCAACAGGCAGCACTAGCAGTGTGTTTAATGTCAAGGGACGCCGCGTCGCCGACTTGAGTTATGGCTGTCCCGTCGATGTTGCATCCATTTGAGTGCGCTAATGCCAACCCTGCCTTCTAATGTAAATATGATGATTTGTTAAAGTTGTTGACTGTTTAAGGGATGCGACAGTTTGAGTACACTCTCATATATTTCAGAAAACAAACCTCGTTTATTGATCCGTCGTGATTTATGGCAACATTTTGGAGATATATCACCGCTTAATGTCTTACAAAATGTATCTTTCACAACAACGCAGCTGACAGCATTGATTTTGCTATGTCACGCACGCCAGCTTGATCGCAGACGAGAGCTCAAGCATCTGCGACCTGAATATCAGCGAGCAAAGTATCTCAGTTCTAACGTTCGGACACGATGACGCCCCTTCAAAGAAAATTGATTCCATAAATATTTTAAGGATACAATGAGAGGGCTCTGTGAGGGGTCAGGGAACAAAAAAGCATAATGTATTCTCGGACATAAGAATGTGAAGTGTAAAGTCATGGTATCCAAGCACTAGTTCACCTTTTCGTACATCATATTTTACTCTTTTTTGCTAAACACACCCACAGGAGCCAGGTAGTGTATCAGAGCGCTACCTGATCCAGCCGGAACACTTAGTCAGTACACGAAAACTGCTAATGTACTGTTAAAGGCTCTCTCTATCTCTCTCTCTCTCTCTCTCTACAATGCTCAATCTTTCTCCCTCTCTATCCTTTCCTCCAATGCTCTATCTCTCCCTTTGTCCCTCCCTCTGTTAGCTGAGCTCTCTAATGACTTTGGTTTCAGATGCTGTCTATTTTTGCTGGGGGAAACGTTACCCTGACGGACTCATTGTTTATCAGATCAGCATGCAACTCATCTTCCTTTGCACTCAGTTGTTCATAAGATACTGTTCTTTCCAGTGATTAATCTATGACATACGGTTGCGCTGTGTTTTCAAGCTGGCATTCAGTTAAAACAAGGATGAAGACAGAATGTGCAGACAAGTTCTAAATGAATGGAGGAAACAAGAGTTAAAACACACACTGACACACACCCTGTTTTGATGCTTGTGATGTGTGTGGCGTGCAAGTGTGTGCGCGCACTCAGAGGGGCATTAAGCAGGTATCAGGTTGTGTTTCCATCTGCTCCAGAGAGGGCTCTGATAGTCCTATTATTTAATCTGTTGGTCATTCTAGATGCCAGGCAAGAGCCGTTTAGCCAGACATAATTGAATGCTTCAGTGTGGGAGATCACCTTGGCCGTCTATATGGACCGTGGTGCCAAGGCTGTACACTCAGACAATGGGAGGCAAAGATTCAAGATAAGTATCTGTGATTTCTGAAACACTTTAGAAGGAATTATGCTGAAAAAACTACAGTTCAAAACGTTTGTTCCAAGCTGTCACACACATCTGTTATTGAAGGAAGACAGAAACAAAGTTGAATATTTGGAATCAAAACTTTCCTTTTACACATAATTATGCTTGAGGAGAAACTTACTAAGTGGTTTATATATTTTTGAAGAACTGACAATAACTTGAAACAGGGCAGTTTAACCATTCAAAGATTTCACTTTACATTTCTTGAAAGGCTCAGTCCACTTGTCCAACAATCTTTTTTTTTTTAAGCAAAAGTAAGATTGACACTAAATTGATTTTTGGATATCGACTTTTCTTCTGTATTTGAAATCCAACTCTGTATGTTGATGACCTAAACTGCAGATACAGTATGTTTGTAATGAACAAAGAATGTCACCAATAAGAGCTTCACTTCTATACAGAAATAGAAACAAATCCACACCCACGCTGCCTCTTGTACCATGTTTCCATGAGCGTTCCAAAGAACGCCATGTACAATGTAATAGCAAAAGTAGTATTTGGTTCAACAATGTTTAACAACAACAGATTACTGAGCTGAAAGTACATTTGGATTCTTCCACTGAAGCACAGCAGGTCTATTATTGAATCGAGGAAGTTAGTTGTTGTTTATGTCCTACTACATTCTGTGTCAATCCTTTTGTTAGTAATATGTCCTCTTTCATTGCATTTTAAATTAAAACATTTTTTGGGCATAAAGCATTATTCATTTTTGTTTTGGCAAAAATATAACTGCTGTGTGAAAAAACTAATTCAAAATGCCTTTTGTGAGAGAAAAGTAGTGAGAGCAACGACAGGGGAATCACACAGAAGTCGCATTTTGGGTTTGCCTTTGGACAAATCTTCTAAGCTGGAATACAGTTTTAAAACATCAACAACAAATGTATGTCTTTACTCCAAAAAGACCCTGAACCCTTGTGCATGTTTTATTCAATGAGCTGTAACCTACATTTTAGGGGAAAACTTTACCAGTAAAAGAAAACAAAAAATAAACGTTCACAGTTGTTGGTATATTCAGCGACCCTGTCCCAGGAATGTTTCACTCCAGTGAATACGACCTCTCAGTCTGTTATCACATGGTCAGAGGTCAAATCACCATCTGCCATCACTGGAGCTGATCTTCCTTTCTCTTCCTTCCTTTCTTGGATTTTCCAAGGGGAGAAGTGTGATCATAGTTCCCCATATAAAGTGTCTGTGGTTTTTATGAATGATTGTAAAACACTGCAGTCTTCACAATCCAACTTTTAGGAAATGGCAAACACATGTTGAGATGACATCATTTAAAGAACTCTACTAACGCACGTGTGTCATTACAGAGATAAGAGGCCAAAACATCTTCAAATCATTTTACAAAAAGGGTACTTACTGTATGGGACACACTCATATTGGACTTCCAAATATTTGTATGTGCCAGGGCAGGGATCAGGGAAAACGTCTGGCCCAGCCACCACCGCACACTGGGTACGGTTGTTGCATCTAGAAAAAAAAGACGGAAAGGTTAGTTCAGATGCACAGAGATATTCTCACAAACCCTCAATAACAGATCTGTCTTTTGAATTCCAAAGCACTCTTCAATACAGACAGATTATATATATTGAGATGTATTTGTATCCTCTCATAGTTCACTACATTCACCCTGTCACTGAAGGGTCGTGAGTTTAAGGACCCTGTAGATTGAAAAGAGGGCAGACAATTGTGTCCTTACTTGTACACCTGGAGTGGACATTACACTAATGGAATCATTGAGTACACTCATACACAAGGTGGTGCAATGTGGCGACTGAAGAGCTGTTGCACAAGGACACTTCTAGTGTGTGTGTGTGTGTGTGTGTGTGTGTGTGTGTGTGTGTGTGTGTGTGTGTGTGTGTGTGTGTGTGTGTGTGTGTGTGTGTGTGTGTGTGTGGTGTGTGTGTGTGTGTGTGTGTGTGTTGTGTGTGTGTGTGGGTGTGTGTGTGTGTGTGTGTGTGTGTGTGTGTGCGTGTGTGTGCGTGTGTGTGTGTGTGTGTGTGTGTGTGTGGGTGCTTGTGCAGCACTAGAACAATAACCTATAGCTTTAAGAGTATTTTGCCCCAGACTCCAGATAATTAACTTTAATTATCAGGGGGGCCCTCTCCTCTGACTCAGAAAAAGTAAGTATTCCTCACTCTTATTAAAACTGGCTATGTGAGACAGCACACTGTATTTATTATGCACCTGTGAGTGTTGTGTTTTCATGCATGCAGGCGGCTATAAAAATGCAATCTTGATATTTATGTTCAAGTGTTTGTAACTAAACATGTTAAGGCCAAGCCTTACAACCAAAGATGATTTGTTGAGGCTTGGTTGGATTCGACATATTATCATGATAGATTGAAGAAATAACATAAAATGTAACCTCATACTGAAGATACACTTCATCGAAACGGTGCATTCTGGTTTCAATACATTATTGTAATAAGGTGAAATGAAGAATATAGCGTCTTTGAGACTAGGGACAGAAACCCATGAGGAAAAGGCCTATTTTTGAAAGTCAGATTTCTCTTCTCATCTAAATATTTTCTTTCAATTAGTACAACTGTTCTGTCTCTCCCTCTTCCCCTCTCTGCACACCTGTCAAACAGGCGACATTCACATTAAAAAAAGATTCAGATTCTCCCATTGAGATATTTTTAATGAGCATGCCAAACCCCTCAAGTCTCTTTTCTTACAGTATCATTCAACAATTTGCATAATGAAATATGCATGAGAGCTAATTTAATTCTTGGTTCAATATTCACTTATAACACGGAGAATCAATGTACGCAACACCCCCACTTACTGAGACGTATAATTATGTGTATTGCTGACCAGTGGGACTATGTTCAGGTCTGGGGTTATTGAAGTTTAAAAGGTTTTAAAACTGTATGTGTCTGTCATATTCTAATACCAATACCCGCCAGTCTTCACTCCTCTCCCTCCCTTTTTTTCTCTCGCCTCTGTGCTTTTTAATTTCTTGCCCCGGTGCCTTCATCATCGGTCACCTGTCATCAGTGCAAGTTGTGGACTCGGGGGGACAAACTTTGTCTGCAACACCGACCAATGGACACGACTTCATGGCCCACAGTGGTGAATCAGAGTGCAAATGCTATTTTAGTGCTATTGTATGGCCTCACATATTCGCTTTTGCAACAAAAAAAAAACTTTAGTTATGATGTCATCCCAATGGGAGATAAAAACAAGTGATTAGAGCTCAAACGTTACTCAAAAAGTGCTGCCATGGGCATAATTATTTCTCACACAAGTTAAAGGGTAAGAATCCTGAACTCTTTTGGGCTTAAAACATGGCTCATCTTTAAAAAAAAGAAAAGAAAAAAGGATTGAATCCGGCACAAAACGATGCTAGTGAACTGGCCAGTGAAACCACACAACATTAGAAAGTTATTGCATAAGGCAAGAGAAAGCAGAATTAAGTAAAAAATAATGCATCAAAAAAAGCTCCGAAGCAGAGAACCGGCCTCGTATAAGGAAGAAAAGTTGCAAATGTGTAATTTGAGGTTTTCTGTAACTGTGGGTATGTGTTTTCTACTTCATGTCCCAGCAAAAAACAAGTTATTTCTTAGGGACTTTCACGACTGAGTCATAAAGTACTGAAGGTTATTGACTGTTTTCTTAGATAGAAGGTAAAGCAAAGATTTGACATCATCTCTTGCACGCTCTACCTCTCCGCCATCACTACCTCTTTATCTATTTTAGTCTGCACTACTTTTCTTTTTCTTCACCCCACACTTTCTAAGCCAAGATAATAAACCAATTTCTTCCTCAGCTTTCGTCTTCATCCTTCCCGCCAAGAAATGATTCCTCTCCGTTGCTCCTTCTTTGTCTCTCATTCCTACTGTCTGTTTTCCCCCCTGTCTGTTTATCTGTCTTAAACCCACTTAGCTGCAGTTTCCCAAGTCACACCCAGATATATGTGGTAGGCCTTTTATTGCTTGCTTCTTTCTCCGTCTGTCCTCTCTCCCTTCTTAATATCTTTCTCATTCCTGCCTCCCTCAGGGCGTCATCTCCAGCCTCCCTCTGTTTCTCCCCAGATCCCTCCATCCTTAAGCCTGTGCTGACGTCACCATTCTGTCTGAGCCACTAGTCTGAGTCGGATCCAAAAAATACTCCCTTATGTCCCCAGTACCGCCATCTCCTTCGTATTTTTCTCTCTCTCTGTTATACTAATTTCCTCTCTGCCAATGTGTTTAGCTGTCTGGCAAAACAAAAAAACATCAGCAAAAATTCACAATCCACGTCTTCTCTGCAGTTCGACAAATGATGAATAGATGCGGAACATGCACATAACCCCCTACACGCACCTTTGCAACCCTTTTTAGGTTTTTTTAAACATAGAAAAAGCTGTATATTATTTCCTGTGTGGTTTTCTTAGTGTTGGCAGAAAAAGCTATTTTTTTAAATTAGCATGACCACATCAAAACAAAGCAGTGGCCTGGATACCGCCTTGCTTGCTGGCTTTCTTCCCTGCAACGTGCAACACACACACAGACACACAAACAAACTATTCTCTAACAAAGCCGAGCGGTGGCAGGCAGGGAAAGAGAGAAAGCTGCGATGCTGCAGTGGGTGCTGCTGTTGTTATTTTCTCTGATGTTTTTCACTTTGTTTGGCAGACCTCCCTTCACTCCGTCTCTGCCTCTATCCCTCATATAAACATAACTGACTGTCTGATGATTTGATGAGGCTGGCGCTGGCTGATGCAGTGTGTGTGGGTTTGTGTGCGCATATGTGCTAGCACATGCATGTGTCTGCCAGAAAGATGTAAGATAGAATAAATATTTGCGAGTGAGTGTGTGTGTTTCCGGCTGCATGTGTGTATGTGCTCCAGTGCAGATGTGTTGAAGAACTATATAATTACAGAGCAAGTGAAAGCTGAGAACTAATCCTCATGAGTTGAAAGAGGTGTCTGAGATTGAGTGACGCACAAAGCCTCAGCACAGTCTTCTGTAATCATCATCTGAATAGAATCAAAGCTCCGCAACACCGTCTGAGTCAGAGTAACATGCTTAAAACATATAGTATTTCTGGAATGGTATCTGAATATCAAATAATATCGTGGCGCTGTTGATATGTTAGCAGAATCAGGTTTTTGCATTTATTTTCATAGGCATATTGTTCGACTGTCAAGTCTCATCATATTCATTATTATAATCCTCACTGACAAGCTGGAGGCACTTTATTTTGTATTCTATATATTGCTAGTAATTTCATGCATTTAAATATCCCCGTTTGTTGTGTGCTGTCTGAAAAATCCTAACATATTTATGTAGATATAGCTTATTGTTTACTGTGCGCTATACTTTTCCTTTCACCATTTTATTTGTATGTTATAATTCTAAGTGTAAAGTGCGTACTAGTGTATATATAATGCCATCATAATGTTGCTCATTTCAAATGAGCCTTTTGCTGAAATATTCCACATTGCAATACATTTTTTAAATGCGAGTGTGACAGTACAGTGTTGTGACTATATTGTCTATTGGTAGTAGAATGTGTAAATGTGGGTATTTTGGATGCAAACAAGATATTCTTTTCAATTTCGTTCTTTTTAAAGTTTCAACATCTTGAAAAAAACAACAATATTTAATCCCTGAACGGCTTTGCAACTCGTTTAACTTCCTGCATTACTGATTGTCTCTTGGCCCTCTCTTTCAAACCAGCAAGAACATAGATGCCTTCAAATAGTGTGAAATCTCTTTCAAAGTTGAAGATCCCTCTGAGAGTTGTGCAGTGTGCAAAACATACAGTGTTAACTGATGAAGTGTATAATTTGATCATTTTATTTAGCTTGGGTTGTTGCAGGAAACAGATTGGAAAACTATTTTTGTTGTTGCTGTTGACAGTTGACAGTTGAACTATATGAACACAGAATAAGGCAGATAATGGGAGAAATGGTTTAACACAGTTGGACTTTATCATTGGATATTAAAATGATTTGATGTATAAATATACATAGGGATATTCCGGCCTGGTCTCAAATATCTTGAAAAGTCTCTGAGTCATGTGTTTCATCAAGCATGGGTAAACTTTCTGCTTCACGATACAATCATAAAAGCCTGCCCACAGCGTCATTATTGTGAAGGGGGCTGCTTCTGCACTAGCGGCAAAATATTACAAGTAAATACCAGATATTATGTTTTATATTACATGCATGCGTTTTGCCTTTTGACCACGCAATCATCAATCATATTTAAAACAGCTAGCATGAATCATACATTTCCCTTACTGTTTATCGTTATTCTATGTCGCTGCCGTTTGACAGGAAGTTATTCAACATTTGGTTCCACAAACAATCAGATTACCCTTTTGTCATTTGACGAGAGTTATACTAGATGATAACATTATAAATTGCACTGTGCTAGCAGTCCAAATGATCCATAGAAAAAAACAATACAATATTCCGTAAAGAAGAAAAAAAAATCACATGATGTGCTGATTATTAAGCGTGTAACACATTCTGA